TATACGTTCTTCAGGACTTTTGGATTGACTCTTTTAATTTAATGTCTATACAGATATTACATTTCCCAGCAGTTGACGGACAAAAGTGACGTTTACAGTTTTGGTGTCATTCTCTTGGAGTTAATATCTGGCCAAGAAGCAATATCTAATGAAAATTTTGGTCTCAATTGCCGTAATATAGTCCAGTGGGTAAGATTATTTTTTTATCATATGCACTATCTTTGATAATAATTTGCTACCGAATTTCCACCTTACTACTTTCTCCATTTAAAAGAAGTTGATATCTTCTTGCTTCTGATATAGTCCTATATTATTATACTCATTAGGTGTCCCAACGACCCAACCTTATACATTCATAATGTCTTTAGCTTCTTCTAACAATTTAGTGGGAACATCTGAAAAAATTATATTGACTCCTGCATAATCCCATTGTGGGGAAGGATTTTATCTATTGAACCATGCTATAAAGTTCGGTGCCGTCTTAGACATTTGCTGGACGGATTTTAAAACTTTCTACTTCTAATCATCCAGGCGAAACTACACATTGAAAGTGGGGACATTCAGGGCATTATTGACCCCGCTTTACACAATGACTATGACATCCAATCAATTTGGAAGATAGCTGAGAAAGCTTTGATGTGTGTCCAACCTCATGGAAACATGAGACCATCGATATCAGAAGTTATCAAAGAAATCCAGGATGCAATTGCAATCGAAAGAGGCGCAGAAGCAGTAAAGGAAGGTAGTTCAGATGACATATCCAGGCATTCGATGCATTCCTCCCTACACGCGGGTTCAATGGACCTAGGTGCAAGTGACCATTACTTGTCCATTGATGAATCTATCACAAGACCAGCAGCTCGATAAGGTTTTTGTTCATATGACTGTAGAATTTTGTTCATATAATAGACCATTAAGTTGTGTTATTTCCAATTCATTTTGCCATCATTTTACATATTTCTCAAGGTCTAGGATTACACAATTGTTGTTATTGACACCTTTTGTTGGAACATAACCTTCTTTTGTGCTGTGCTGTGTAAAGGCAAGTTTTTTAGCACATTTTTAGTTTCACATTTTTGGCTTGAACCAAGAGAAAAAAAGTGTAAGCAATTCTTTACTTCTATTGCCCTTTTGATAGAAATTTAACCATATGAGTGGCTACAGACTTTGCTGAGGGCCTGCAACTCTGGTTTCCCTCAAGTCACTGATACATCAATACTTGTTCCTTTTTACACATTTATGATATAGGAATAGTTCAATGTTAGAAAAACTGGATTTTCTCTATGAACTAAGAAACTATAAGTAATAAGAATTGTTTACCATCTGGGAAGAGAGAACAATCTGATTGACGACGAAGGCCATAAACATGCAGCAGATTTACTGATCTGGGAAGATGCGCTCAAGAATGTGGTGTTTATTGTCCTAGCAGACTTAAGTCATGCAAATTTATTTAGTTTTCCAGTGTACCAAAGAAAACATTAAATGGTAAATGTTGGTGTAGAAATGTTGGCTGATTAAGTAATCTATGTGAAGTTATTGTTGGAAGGGGTTAAAAGGGGGGTGGACAAAGTTAATTGGTACTTGTGTTGGTGGGAGGTAGTGTGTGCTCGATGTAGTAGTTGAGCTATGCAATAAGATGTTCGTAATACGTGCAAGAGAAGTAGCTGAGTTGTGCAGCCTAGTATTCATGTTGGTGAGAGGTAGCACATGCTCAATGAAGAAGCTGAGGTACGTAGCTTGATACTTATTGGTGGGCGTGCTTGATGAAGTAGCTAAAGTGTGCAACATGATACTTATGTTGATGGGAAGTAGCATGTGCTCGATGAAGTAGTTGAGGTGCACAATTTGGCACTTGTGTTGGTAGGAGGTAATACGTGCTCGAGAGAAGCAGTTGAGTTGTGCAACTTGATACTAAATGTTGGTGAGAGGTAGTACATGCCCGATGAAGTAGCTGAGGTACGTAGCTTGGTACTTGTATCAATGGGCAGATAGCACGTTCTCAATGAAGTAGTTGAGGTGCGCAACATGATACTCGTATTGGTGGAAAGTAGCACGTGCTCGATGAAGTAGTTGAAGTGTGCAACATGATACTCATGTTGGTGGGCAGTACCACATGCTCGATGAAGTAGTTGAGGAGCGCAACTTGATACTCATATCAGCGGGAGGTAGCACGTGCTCGATAAAGTAGTTGAGGTGCATAAAAACTGGTCCGAACAAAAAAGAGGGGTAGTCATGTGAGGGAATATGTAGAATGGAACAGTCCAAACACACTTAGGCCAATAGTATACTCCCTCCGTCCCTTTTTAGTTGTCCACTTTAGAAATGTCACACAGATTAAGGCAACAATGATTAGCACAGTGAAGTTACAATTTTACCCTTATGACAACTTTTCACTTCAAAATTACAACCACTTCTTTGAATTCAAGTGAAATAAATTGGAGGGAAACAACATACACTTTTAGAAATTTTCAATAAGTGTAAATAAGGGTATAATAGGAAAAAATTTGTTGTCTTTTCTTGATTTGTCAAAATGGACAACTAAATAGGGACAACCAAAAAAGGAAATATGGACAAGTAAATAGGGACGGAGGGAGTATTATATATATAGAACGTAAGTTTTGCTTTTTACCATGGGATGGATTTCACTATATTTTTAACCATTGGATGAGATTTTCATCCTTATCTCAATTTTTTTTTAGATAAGTAAAAATTATCTATAAATATTAATAGGATAGTGTAATCTTCATTTTCACCATGGGATGGATTTCACTATATTTTTAACCATAGGATGAGATTTTCATCCTTATCTCAAAAAATTACTTCTAGATAAAATAAAATTACATGTAGATAAATAGGATAGAATGTAATCTTGATTTTTACTATTGGATGAATTTCACCATATTTTTAACCGTAGGATGAGATTCTCATAGTTATCTCAAAGTTATTTTAGATAAATAAAATTATATGTAGATATTAATCGAGTAAAACTTATCCGCACATAATGTATACAACAATCTAATACATGCATCTCATGTGTTTGAATTTTTAGAAATTTTCAATAAGTGTAAATAAGGGTATAATAGGAAAAAATTTGTTGTCTTTTCTTGATTTGTCAAAATGGACAACTAAATAGGGACAACTAAAAAAGGAAATATAGACAACTAAATAGGGACGGAGGGAGTATTATTGATCAATGATTGGCCCCATGTCCTACCATTGCTACTGTCTTTGTTGCAGTGTTGTACAACATTGCTGATTATGATACCTGCCATTTCTGCTACTTGATCAATTAGTTCTGCGCCACAATGGAGAAGACTAGTCAATGTACAATCTTTTTGTTGCTAGTTTAATTATTAAAAATGGTAATGTATCTATTTAATTGAGTTGAGAATCTATCGAAAATAACATCTCTATCTTTACTGAGGTCTAAAGCCAAACTTCAAAGAGAGGTTGAACTCTCTCCTTTTTTTTTAATGGAAGATTGTTATACATATTTTTATTTGAAGTATACTTTACTAGTCTTTTTAGATTCGAAACAATTAGTTATTATTTTATAATCGGAGAAGGACCTAAAATGTCTTTTAACTATTTGAATTGATACAAAATTATCCTTTGTCTCCTCACCAAAAGGTTAATGTCAAGGGTCTTTGGGGGTCAAAAGGTGTACGGAAGGTACTTTTGTACCAATTCAAATAATTGAGGGGATTTTAGGCCCTTCTCTGTTTTATAATTGATCTTCTCTGAGAATTTCTTTCAAGGAAAATTGTCATATTTGTAGCTTATGGAGTAAAAATATTGACAATGCAAATTTTCTATGAAAAACGTAAATAAAACTTGGCTCAACAATTGATAAGTTAATATAATGATATAGAAATATAACGTTGATATAATAATATTCAAATAAAATTTGGCTCTACAATTTAAATTTGACAAAAAAAATTACTTTTTTCATAAAAACCAACACAATATTCTCCAAAAATATTTTCTTTAAAGTGATCCTCACATAATTTTACCTAAATTTAGTTTTCAAAAACTTTTCATAAATGTCACTAACGATTACATATATACATGTTCAAAACAATAAATCATTTGTAATATGTCTTATTGTATATAAAGTATTTAAATTATTAAGACACTTGTTCATTTAATGATCATTTGATTGATAAACAAGTTATATTTGGATTACAATAAGGAGAGTATGACAAATGAATTAATTAGTGATACATATTTGGAATAATTGTTTCTTTTTAATGGCTTTGCTTCTTTACATGTGCATTTTGATATATTTTATTTGAATGGAAGGTCTTTCATAATGACCTTTCTATCTTTACAAATCACAAAGTAACGACATATATAAGATTTGTTTATATACCATCTTTCTCGGACCTTGATTATGGGATTATATTTATTTTATTATCATTGTTGTAAATCAGTAGTAAAATTTACATGCATTATATTAGAGGTGTGCAAAACTCGATTTAACCGACAAATTATATTGAAAAAATTACTATTAATTTATCGATATTTGATTATTCGGTTACGATTAGGTTTTTGATTTAATAATCTTAAGGTTATATTGAAATTACTTAACATTTTACTAATTTTATTTCTTAAATTTTAGTATTATTTTCAGTCTCTGACACCTTCTCTCTTTTCGACACAAACTAGTATTACCTTCTCTCTTTTGATTGCGACAAAGACAAACAACTATTGTTGCTTCTACAAATAACTTCTTGATTTGGTTGTCGATTTAGCGTGTTCACAAATCAAAACCAATAATGCTAAAATCTAATCGAATTGATTGATGCATACCTCTACATTTTACCCGTCTAGATTTCACTTGTAGAACTTCAGAAGATATTATTATATAATTTAAATTTCAAAAAATAAAAAGTATCATATTAATTGAGACAAATGGAACCCTAATGGGACCCACCTCCACCCACCTAAAAGGACATAATGTAGAAGAATCCAAATACATGTGGAAGGAAGTAAAGAGAAAGAGTTTCTTTTTATATAGTTATAAAAATTTCAGTGTTTTCTTGTAAAACGAACGGTGTTGATAGGGCAAAATCCAAAACTCTGCCTCATCTCAGTCGTCTCCCTTTCTCCCTTCTTCTCCAACGTCCGATCTTCCAGTTCCCTCCATCCCCAGGTTCATTTTTATACCTTTTTTTCAAAAAAAAATAATCACCCCTTTCTCTCTCTAACTTTCTCTCTCTAACCATTTCAATGGCAGAAATCAGAAATAGGGTTTTTCTCTGGTTCATGTCATTCATCTTACTGTTTTCTACATGGTTTTTTTTTTTGTTGAAAAAAGTCACCCCTTTTCACCCTTTCTCTCTCTATCCCCTTAACTTTCTCTCTCTAACAATTTCAATGGCAGAAATCGGAATTAGGGTTTTTTTCCTGCTTCTTGTTGTTCATCTTACTGTTTTTGATGTGGGTTTTGGTTGTTTTAAGGTATGGCGGATGGTCAAGGTTCGTCTAGGTCACCGGCGAGTCCGAACGGAGGTGGTAGTCATGAGAGTGGTGGGGACCAGAGTCCGAGGTCTAACGTACGTGAACAGGACAGGTTTTTACCGATAGCTAATATTAGTAGAATCATGAAGAAGGCACTTCCTGCTAATGGAAAAATTGCGAAGGATGCTAAGGAGACTGTTCAGGAATGTGTTTCTGAGTTCATCAGCTTCATTACTAGCGAGTATGTGTTTAATGTTTAATGATTTGTTTAGCTCGTACTAGTTTTAGTTTGGTAATGAGTTGTTGCTGGTTGAATTTTGATTTTTAGATGACTAAATGTTGTGGTTTGTGTTAAAAATGTAATCTTTTTGTTGTTGATTGCATGTTGGATTGATTTATTGTCGTGATTCATTTTCCCTCCGTGACGATTATTGGATTGATGTTATCTTTAAGATTGTTATCTTTTTATTGTTAATGAACATGCTCGCTTTGTTGACCTACTCTCTTTGTTTCAATTTGATAGTCTTGTGTAAACTTGGTATAGAGTTTAATAAGAAAATGAAGAAGAGTTTTGAATCGTATGGTTTTAAACTAAACATATGTGGAATGTATTAAATGTCCTTTAATCTTGTGGTAGTTGATATTAAAGAGTTTGCCAAAAAAGAAAGAGACATTTTTTTGAACGGAATAATAACAAGGGTAAGACAAACAAATTGGAATGAAGGGAGGATTTTGATTAGTATTATCCCGTTACGCAAAGACTCCATCTTTCTTTAATAAGTGTTGTTTATAGGTGTATGGATATGCTATAGGTTGTAGGTGATGTTCACTCTTGTTTCTTTGTTCCTTTTTGTGGAGAAATTTTATTTTTGATGTTGTTGATTTCCTTGACAATGTTGCTTGTTTCCTGATGGAATGTAGGGCAAGTGACAAGTGCCAGAGAGAGAAAAGAAAGACTATTAATGGTGACGATTTGCTATGGGCAATGGCAACTCTTGGGTTTGAAGATTATATTGAACCACTCAAGGTGTATCTTGCTCGATACAGAGAGGTAATGATCACTAAGTTTCTGATTCAGCTTTCCCTCGTCACCCTTTTACAATGAAGCATAAATTGATGGATTTTCCTCTTATGTGGTTGGTGGGATACCTGTTGGATGAATGAATTGTTGCAGATGGAGGTAAGTGAATGTCTAATATAATGTCTTTATTATCATTTCTTTTCTTTTTTCTTCTTTGCTTGTGGGAGCAACTGATTCATTTAGTAGGGTGACACAAAGGGAACGTCAAAGGCTGCTGATGGCTCTACTAAAAGAGATGGGATGCAACATGGTCCTAATTCACAGGTACTCTTTCGTGTTTTCTGCTTTTTCTCTCTATTTTTTTGTCTTGTTTGGCATCTTAAATTGCTTAAGGAAATTTTTTAAGTGCAACATCCATTAATTTGATATTCCATCGTATTGTTACAGCTTGCACATCAAGGTTCATACTCACAAGGAATGAATTATGGGAACTCTCAGGTAATTTTTTATTGTGTATCCATGATGTTTAATTGCTGCATGTCATCCTTCAGAATGCTTCATTATGCATAGAAGTCTCAATCTTCGCCTGTTATATGGGGAAATATTTTTCCAGTCTTAACCACAAAAGTGGTGGATTAACCATGATTCAGAATCCCATCGGGTACAAGAAACTCTAGGTATTTCTTTTCATCGGTTTAAGTCTTGTTAGGCAAAGTTAACCAGTATCTGTGCTGGTTGGAGATAAAAGTATCTGGTAGATTATTCTATCCGGACAACTCTGTTAGGGTAAAAAAACATGTAAAAGTTGAAACTAAGAAGAGTGTCTTTATGATTTTCAATTTATCAAGTTCTTCAATTTGACCCTTTAGTAACTATTGCAGATAAGTATAAGTGACAAATGCTATTACTGATTCCTACTTATGACAAAGATGGTAAGGTGTAGGTTGTTATTTCTTAGTTCAAATTTGAGTAAGCCGTGCTTTATATATTATAATCATCCAATGGTGGATAAAATTGTATAATGGATAGTAGGGAAGGTTTGTGTATATATTCATTCAAGGCTTGGGCCTTTATGTGATTTCACTACTTCAAAAGATGCCTAGAATTTTGCCAAAATGCTAATGATATTACCATAAGTAGAACTAAAAGAAAAGGTAAAATGAGGCAAATCCGTAGATGAGGTAAAAGAAGGGTATTATGAATAGCCTTTTCGCACTTAGGTATCTGCTTCTTCCTATTAAAACCAGTACAACTAATTTTGGAGCTGAGTCCATTGTTTCTTCCTGCTTTATGGTGATCATACATATTGCTCAGAGGACTACTTTTTTATGTGATGTCAGACTTTGCTCGATAGTTAGGTATATGAGGGATTGACATGTGCGATTGTCATTGTTCATGTGAAGTGAGACTTTCTCAACAATTAGGTATATGAGGGATGGACAAGTGCGACTGTCATTAAGTGTCAAATCCATTGTGTACTTAAGTGAGGCAGTACAGTTTTATTGAATACTTCTACCTAAATATATGTCATGAATTGAAGACATTGTGCAAAACATGGGTATCGGTGATTACCAGATAATTAAGAACTTGAAATCATTGTTCACTTGATGCTTGAGTTTGAAACCAAAATATCGGATATCAACTACATGATGCATTCCATAGATAATGGTTTTTTGCACTGGGAGTGGGAAGTTGTTTTGTTTTATATGGAGGTGTTTGATTGGGCGCAAAGTTTAAAGAAGAAAAAAAACTTTTGGCACATGTTAAAAGTACCCTTAAGACTTGTGGTTGTAAACACATGTCATGACATTTTTTTGGCTATAAATAAGAGCATTTCATAAAAAGTAAAGTGAAATATTTAAAGCTCAAGAGCTCCCAAATATAGAAAGTGGAAATGGCTCATTAACATGCTTCTTGTAGTACTATTGCCTGATAACATTGATAGTTAGATGAATTAGTACATTCATCCGAAAATTAAGGATAGTCGAGCTTGATGAGTAAACTCTATGTAATTGCTCGTGTCTTGTTGAGGTTTGCCATCTCAGCTTGTAAGACATCTATCATGTTACGATGAGTATAGAAGCCTGTGTGCACGAGAGAGATCGCACTTTGTTCTTATAGAATTCAATACAGGTGAAAAAGTTGGGGGTAATCCATGAATTTTACGCCAGCTTATGTTTGACTACTATACAGCAGCAATGTTAGTTGGTGGATTGATTGTTCAGATCCCACCCAAAGTCTTTTATGTCACTCTGATATTTACTCTCTTGAAATCGCGTTGTGCAGGGTCAGCATATGATGGTCCCGATGCAAGGGACAGAGTAAAAATCCGATCTTCGTTCTGTTTGAGAAGACGGTGGACTTAAAAACATATTCTATATATAGATCTTCTGCTGTAACCTCTGTATCATGGTTTATTTATTCTAGTGCTCTCTAGTGAGTGCCATGTCATATTTAAAGTTTGTAAATTTAGGAGATGTTTAAGAAATATTATGGACATGATTGTTTGTAGTAATAATGAAAACCATTACCTAGTACTTCAATTGCAGGATGTTGCTTCTCTATGGATGAATGAAGTTATATACTACCTCTCTTTTTTTCCTTATTCCTGAAGGAAAATTAGGGTTTCTTTTTTGGACTCTTTTGTATTTCCCTGAAATGAGTTTTTTTGACGAAGTGAGAAGTCATATAAACGATCTCAACTTGTTTGGGACGGAGGAATGTCATTCAATTCTTTCAGTAAGCTGAGGTGACCATGAGTTAGGTTGAGGTCTATAGAGCTCTGGAACTTAAAATAGTAGAATTAAAAAGGAAAAGGAGGAAGCTGCCTTCCAAAGTCGGTTTTGAAATTATCTTTTGTACCACATTTGCTTTGCATGTATTTGGGATATACTAACTCTAGTTCAACTCTCCAATTTCACTTACAGATTGACAGACTCTGTTTGATTCCAAATTTTGCGAGTCTATCTTCAATGATCTAGTGAATGATAATAGTAGCTTCTAATGAATTTGGATCATAAAACATGAATTTAGTGAAATTTTAATTTTTCGTATGCGTTAATCCATAAACATTCTAAATGTGGCTGACCAACTCCATTTGGCATCAAATTTTATGGGTCCATCTGCCACAACCTAGTGAACAACAATGGTGGCATATAATAGGGTCCACCTAAATTGGACAGAAAACTGGACTTCATTTCATCTTTTCTCTTCAAAGAGAAATGACTGAAAATTCTGTGATTTTTCTTCATCTAGAAAAATCAATCTAATCAGGAAAAAAACTGTTAACAAATTAGCTACACTAGTAATACAAAACTCACCTTTACATAGGTGCAATTTTCTTTATGATATTACATAAAACAACCTACATGAGTACAGTAAAACTAAAGAAAACAAATCCAAGTCGAGAATAGGGCTATAAATTAGTAAACCGACCCGAACCAGAACCTCTCCTCCTCCTCCGACGTTTTTGCATGCGCCAGAATAAAATCAAGAGACCTAACAGTTATAGTGATAAGTCTGTAAGATAAATGCTAAATATTTGAATTCATCTAACCGTCACATATACACAAATGTACACACTCACCTAAGATGGCAACAGTTGCAGGAACTAACCAGTGAGTAGCTACAAGCACAGGCATGTCAATCTGCAATCAAGTAAAATGAGACATTCTTATGTTCTGGCATTTGAACTATGTTAATTGAAGTTGATAAAAAGAGTATGAACTGTATTTTCAAACATTTGAAAAGTTATTTTGGTTTGATCATAAGTTATACCACTAATTGCAATTGAAAGACCAGTAAATATAGTCCCAAGAAACCAAGCTAAATGGGTATCCCGATAAGAAGAAGAAGTCAAAACGGAAAGCAATTGAAATATTGAAAAACTTTTATGATTCACTCACGAAATTTCAACTTTTCCCAGTGAACTTCATGTCCAAAAACTTTTAAAAAATGTGTGTAGATATATTCCTTTCTTACAATCCTGCGTCAGATACCTACCCTTTTGAGCCGAGGGTCTGCTGAAAACAACCTCTCGACCTCATAAAAGGTAGGGGTAAGATCTGCGTACATCCTACCCTTCTAGACTCCACTGTGGTATAACACTGGGTATGCTGTTGTCTGTGTATGTACTAAGATATACTTCAACTACTACATTTGGACATGATTTGGTTGAAATTTGAAAAGAAGAACAAATCCTAAATGACATGAATTTCACTTGGAAAAAAAAAATGGAACTTGAAATGGAGAAGTTGAAGTGTGAAAAACTCTTAAAACATGTTGTTCAAACGTCAAATTCTCTATTTCAAGTTGAAGTTGAAAAAAATGAACCAAATTTGATAGGCAAAACTACTATTTGAAAAACAAAATTCAAAGATATTTGAAAAAAATTGCATGGACAAACGCCGAAGTGTCAAGTTTTAAAAACAAATGAAACCAAAAGTTACTTACATCATCTCTGTAAAAGAAGCCCCAGTAGTTGTTTCCAGAAGAGTCGACAACCTTCTGAGTCGTGTTAGATGTTACAGTAACAGATGTGTCTACTGTAGAATTTAAACCTCTACCCAAGTCGATGACATGATATCCGGGTAGCTTACGGTTCCTTCCTCTGACCTGTAAATTGTAACCCTTTGTTCCCCATACTTCAAACCTGGAGTCACGGCTGCATGTCAACTCCTTCCCAACAACTCTAGAATAGGTAGAGAAATTCACATCCGTTCTACGCGATGGTATCTGGTTCTTATCAGCATATAATGGTTTCTCCTGTCTAACTGAATCCGAGAAAAGCATAGGATCTTTAATATTCCTGCTTGTAAAATCCAACATTTTCTTCAAGAGCCCATAACAATTGGTAACCATATGGCTGCTGTCCAAGCAGTTAGAGTCCCCGTATACTGCAATTCGACCCCTGCCGACCTCCAAAAAACCAAGAATAGGTGTATCTGTCTGCATTCATTAAAATAAATTGCAAGTCAGATTGGCAGGTCAACCACCACCTAAAGAACATTGAAAAAGTAGGAATGTCATTAGCATAAGGGTTCTCACTGGAGTAAAATGGACTTCTTCTCCAGTACTACTTTGTGCCACTTAAGGAATGTGATACCAAAAATTTATTCATCAGAGAATATTGACAAGTGAAGAACATCCCTTACGTCATCCTCGCCTCACATTTCCGGAAACTCCATCTTCATTTTTAAGCAGAGGATTTTTTCAAAGATAAATATGAAAAAGGAAAAAAGGCAACTTCATGGAGTGTCATCTTTTAGTTAAGGATGTTATTATCAAAAGAAGTAGTTGATTAGGAGAATCGCTATCTCACTACAGAGTATACTCTTCCCCATGTTTCACTAGAGAGACAACAGACTTCACTACATTAGACCACCATATCTCCATTTTCTTTCAACTACTAGAGCCTCATGGAGATGCTCAGTGTTCTGGAATAAGCAAAAAGAGGTCAACTCTCTGCTTTTAGTAAAGATTCTTGTGTTTATGAACTTAAAGAGGAGCAGTAGATGCTAACAAAATTAAATTATGAACAGCCTTCAACTCACCTTGGTCATGCCAGATAAAAGGATATTCTGAGTGGCCCCGCTCTCTGAGCTATCCATGAAGGGGAAGCTGTGCAAGTATCCACCCCTTGGGAACTTCAGAATATCAGTCCCAGAGGCATACCGACTCTGTTCACCATTGAGGACAAAATCGCCATTCAGAATTTTATTCCCAAATGCAATCCCAAAGGAAGCCAAAAGATCATTTAAGGCAGGAACATTGGAACCTCCAGTAACCGGGGTCCACCAGCTACGTGTATTGTCATCAAAAAACCTCATCTTTACCATTGTGTCCACATTGTACCAGTCAGCAAATACAACTACACTTAGACCTGAATTAATGACATCATCTCTCAATTTCTTGATTTCTTCAGGGAAGTACTCATCCTCAAGATCCACCAGAAGGAGTGTACCATACTGGCGAGCATCAAAGCATGTAAGAGGAGAGCCAAGAGTCTCAATATAGTATCCGGTATCTCTTAGCGTGTCAAACATTATGTGGAAATTTGTATGCAGATGATCCCCATGCCAGTCAAGAATGTCATTTCGAACATCTAAGGAGTCCCTTGGAATATAACCAGGCGGATACTTAATACTGTGAAATTGATCCCACAATATCCGCACAGATCTCGGTGGAGTAGGGACCACTTGCAATTTCAATTGAAGGACACATGTACTACTTCGACGGCTTCTCTCACCTGGAGCTGGTGGGCTGTAGACCTTGATAGTTACATTACCTTCAATTACCCCTGAAAACTGAGTCCCTTCTTCTTTGATTTGCATATGCAGTGCAAGATAACCAGTCCAGGGCCAAATGACATCTGAATAAGTAAAATGGACACTGAGAAGGTTGCCATCCTCACCAAAAGGATGCCATGTAGGTGGACTTTCGACATAACCAATTACAGCCATTCCATTTAGAATAGTGGCATTAAATATGACTGGCATGGCACCAGCATAAAGTGGTTGACGGCAAAATGGCCACGAGTAGGGGCAGTCAGTGTAATCAAGAACACCTGGGAAAATGCTTGCTCGAGGTTCATAGCTCATCAAAATTTCAAAGGACTCCAACCTGCCATTCAAGTTACATGTTGAGAAGAACATCAATGTGGATTGATTTGGTATTCAAACTACAAGCATAAAGGAAGAACTCACAAATTAACCCTGCCTGCACCCTGCTCGTATATGTTGGGACCAGGAAGCTTTGCAGCCCCCTCAACCAGTGCTTGTTTAACGCTAGCTGGATTCAGAATGTCCTTACGCTTGTTTTCAGGAATTACGCTAACAAGAAGGCATACTATACCAGCAACCACAGGACTCGCCACGCTGGTGCCAGATAAGCTTTTACAACCTGTACTAATTTTGGATCCCATTATCTCGCGTCCATATGCAACAATATCAGGCTTTACACGACCATAACTGTCAAGGGAAAAGTCTGTGGTTACACTCTATGAATTGGCTGGACAAGCATAAATTATTACTATCATTAGGAGAAAAAAACTGTTTGTTTTCTTTCATATTTAATATCTTTGTCAGAAGATGCAAGTATCATACATTGAGGATAAAAATACGAGACGGTTGCTAGAGATGGATGACTCGATCACGTCACAGATGAACCGGTTTGTAAGTGTGAAATCATGAGGAGTGAAAGGGGACGAGGTAGACCTTAAATCATATGGAAGGAAGTTATATTGAAAGACCTACAAGCTCTTGAAATCAATGCAGACTTAGCGAAAGAGAGGTCACATGGGAAGAAAAAGATTTACTACAAATTAGTTTGGAATATATTCTAGTAACGCTAACATGTTTATTTTAGGTCCTAAGCTTATTTTAACCTTATTAGAGATTCTTACACTAGTAGGAAATATAGAGAACTTCTAGTACTTCTCATTTTGATTTTTCTGTTCTAATGTTGGCAGACGAATTTAAATGGGGAACATGGTCAGTGAAAATTAATATAGCTGACCCCAACTTGTTTGGGAATGACGCATAGTTGTCATATTTAAATATCAT